AAGCCATTTGCACAGTTCATTTCTATTATCAAGGCCATTGTGGTGTGAATTTCCATAACAGTAGTGATTGTACCGCACGTCTTTTTATGTCTATTGTAGCTTTTTAAAAATGTAGAACCGCACAGCTTGGGGAGAGGAAAATAAATCCTCACATATAATGGCAGATGAATAAATTGCTCTTAATCTGCATGTATGTGTGTGTGTGTGTGTGTGTGTGTGTCTATATCTAACACCTAGAGTCCTGTATTCATAGGTGCGATGTAGAAAAGGCAGGTGTTATCAGTTATCAGCAGAGTCCAAATTGACGCAGAGGAACGGCTTCATTGTGTGTGGATTCAAAGAGAGATGTGAGAGAGCGGCGCTCTGGATGTCTCCATTTCCAATAACTCTGACCTTGAGGCGACAGGAATATCCCGCTGCCCCCCCGTCCCCTCCTCCATCACCAAAACCAACATCACCACCACAACTACCGTCTCAGTTTGAACACGGCTGATTTATGTCTGCGCTGCTACAGTAACTGGTGTCGCCAAAGTGTTGGTTACATTTGGTTCATACCAAAACCAAGTAAATATTTGTATATATTATATCTGTATTTTTTAGACATTCCTCAGATTTTACAGTTTTTGTTTTTTTTTAACTTATGTTGTCAAAACCCAGCCCTGAGATGTCTCTGATCCAACGAGAGACAAAATGATCAATAATCCTCCAAGGCCCGCCGCGAAAACTGAATTTCCGCGAAGTAGTGACACCGTATTTATGTGCAGTAAAATGATAACGAAGAAGGTGATGATGACTTGATTGATTTTACATCTCGCCAGAGGGTGGTGCTATTTCTTGGGGCACCTCTTCCACGGTTTCCGAAGTTGTATCCGTAGTAGTTGCAGGAACTGGGTCTTTTTTTTTTTTGCGATGCTGCTTTCGCTGCTTCTTTTTCCAGTCGAAGAGTAGCTCGTAGGCAGTCACGACGTCGTCGATTTTGTTGCAAAATTGGACCAATCGAACCACCATTCCTGTGACATCTTTCGCAGATCCAAATCCGTGATACGGTATATTTTATATATACAGTTTTCAAAAACCCGAGAAAGATGAACCACGAAATAGCAGACAGTCACAAACCTTTTTGTGTCTGCTTCTTCCAAAGGTACTTGGTAATACGAAGATGTTATACAGACTTCCTGAACAATGTTATAATAATATAAAAGAAAAACGAATCTTTCTCCATCAAGTTCTGGGACAGAGAACCGCAGACACATAAAAAACATGAACAGTACAATTTCTGACCGTGTTTTTTAAACATTTCACCCGTGACATCCGATCACTCTGTTCCCGACCTCACCTCGTCCCTCCTCCCTCCACCGCTGGATGGTTTTGTTTACTGGCAGCAGGCTTACGTCAGATAATCATCTGCCTGATGTGGAACCAGTGATTCATCACTTATCATCAGCGTCACGAGAATCCAGAGACACGATTTTAAATCTTTTATCTTCCCCGAACAACACAGTGAACATCAACACGCTCGCTGGCAGTGATACTGCCAACGACCGCCGCAGCACAACAGGGCATTAAGATCCTCAATGTCAAAAAAACAAACACCACTTTTTGTGTCGCTGCCTTTAATTTGTCCAAAAAATGCTTCATTTTGGTCAATTCACTTCAATAAAAAAGGGAAAATTAAGTTTAGAAAAAAAAAAGTCGTTTGACGACAGACTCAATTTTTACCTGGTTGTAATTTAGACGTAGTAAATTTATTCTTAATGCTAGATTTGTATTGATTATCAGTAATAAAAATTATAAAAAAAATTATTAAAACTATAAAGATAAATCACAAACATATAAATGGTTAAATAAATTGTTGTATATAAGAGAATAAAAAAAATGTAAAACATATAAATGGTTAAATAAATTGTTGTGTATAAGAGAATAAAAAAAATGTATGAGCATAGAACATTTAAATATAATTTTTTTTTCCACTTGACCTCTGTTTGGGCCGTAACCCACAACTTAAGAAACATACATTGACACAACCCGATTTTAGTCTAAAGTTCTTGGTTAAATATTTTTATTTCTTTCTTTCGTGTGTGTGTGTGTGTGTGTCTCTGTACAAAGACTCCTCCTTTTTTTTTTAGGAGCTCGGTCTAATTAATCCATCTCCTAGCGACAAAAGGCTCCCCGTCCCTCCCCTCTGTCCTCCCCCCCATTGGCATTTTGGGGCAGAGGGATTCAGCAGGCCCCCCTGGCACCCCTCTTGCTCTGACCCCTGCCCCCCCACCAGGGGAGCATCTGTGAATCGATCCGGGGCCAGCTGGCACCGAGGAGAGGTCCAGGCCTGGTACTGGAGTCCACAGTCGACAATAAAGTCACAGCCTTGAGAGAGAGAGAGAGAGAGAGAGAGAGGCTTTGATCTTTAAATACTTTTTGTACTCTTTTGTAAAATTTAGATTAGATTTTTAATGTGTTTTTTTTTGTTCTGGAACAGTTTTTTCTTTAGTGAACGACAGGTCATTTCCAGCAAATTTGTTGTAATTTCTTTTCTCCAAGGCCAAGGTACAGTTTTCAGATTGGGCTGTGATGAAAATTAGCTGAAAAGTTGTCGTGTCAACAAATCTGCGACTCGTGTCACCAATGTGTGCCAGGACTGAAGTGACTGAAGTGTTTTTTTTCATCGTAGAATTGAGTTTGAAAAAAAAAAAAAAAGCAGCAGTAAAAAATTGATGATGAGTGTCATCATCACCTCTTTATTACACACACACACACATGCAGGTATTCACTTCCTCTCAGGACGGGTTCAATACGAACACGAATTCTGTCTGTAATAAATTAAACTTCCGTATTGTCCTGTCTTTTCATTTTCCACTTGTCACACCCTCTTAGTCACCCTAATCCTGCCCCCCCCACACACCCCCCCCCACACACACACACACAGTTGCACCCACACGTTGATTGACAACTAACATCCAGGGACATGCAGCAGATTTCCATTGTTTGCGGCCCCCAAACTAAATCTGTTGAAATGGTGTTTCCATTCTTTCACCGAGGTATTTGCATACTCTTTAAGAATTTCCTATGTTTCCCAGACACCCCACCTTATTTCCTCCCCTTCCTCCCCCTTTTTCTTGTTAAATCCCCTCTTCCTAAGTGTTTGTGTGCATTTGGCAAATTCATTCATAAAGTATCTACATGCACTATTAGCTTCGTATAATAGCCGGGGTGTAATCTGCAGAGAGATAAGAGCTGGAGAGGGAGAATTCTTTTTTTTTTTTCCTTCTTCTTCATGTGATGGTGCTGAGAAGAAGGGCCTGGTGGTTGAGCCATGATACGTCATTATGTTCCCCAGCCAAGGTTCAGATGTCGGCATGAAATGTCAAGTGGCTTCTCCGGGCCCAGCCGCTCGCTGGGTTTGTCTGTTGGAGAGAGGAGACAAAGAGAGATGGAGGTGGCTGGATGGAAGGTGGAGATAAAGCCGAACGGCGAGGATGGCGAGCGGAGATGTGAGGGCGGAAAGGCAGGGTAGAAAATAGAAGGATAAAGGTTAGAGAAACAGACTGGTTTCTGCACCAGCTCCAGTCAGAAAAGATAAGTCTGCCACCTCCCAAATACCTCCTTATCGACCTTTCATTAATAGAACTGTATCAACCTGGAGTCTTCTGTCGTTGCACCTGCACTTTAGGTTCTGAAATCCCTCGAATATTAACTCTCCACTGACTGAATACTTTGATTTTTTAAGTCATTTGCCTTTTTTTTTCTAATCTCCACTGACTGAATACTTTGATTTTTAAGTCATTTGCCTTTTTTTCTACAAAGATCTGTTTGTCATCGACAAAAAATGTGTCCTCTGAATTCACCCAATCCTTGGAACAAGAGCCTCACTTTTCTATGTCAAACCTCAGTCCAGCCCAGGCTGGGATTCAAACCGACATCCCTTCAACTGTACCACTTGTACAGGAAGTAGCTGTGGCTGCTGCAACAACAACGATGATTGTGTTCGTTCCTTTTATGCAGTTTTATTTTACTTTTTACATTTTTTAAATTAAGGATTTAAATAATTTGATGGAATTTCTTTGACTGATTTTTTTTGTCAGTTTGCCTCTGATACAGTTTCTCTTCAGTATTACCAGTATCTCTACCAGTGTGCACTGATACTAAAGATTGTGTGTGTGTGCGTGTGTGTGTGTGTGTGTGTGTGTGTGTGCGTGTACCCTGCGGTCTTCAGCGATAAGACGAGATTGAGTTTTTCGCCACTGAGCCAAAGCCTTTGAGGTTTTTTGTGTTTGTGTGTTTGTATGTGAAGACATCAGGAATGGTAAAGAGCTGCTATCACTCCATCTGTCTGTATGTATATGTGCTCTGGAGAAAAGAGCTCCACCGCTTTGTTGGCTTTTGTGCACACGAGAGGATGAAACCTCAGGGCCTGGTTCACAGCTGAGACACTGGGGTACTACGTATGTACTATGTATGTACTGCAATACTTCCAACATACACGCGTACACATGGAGGCATCGACAAAGAGCTGTTCAAAGGCTTCTGTGTCTTTTAAGTGACATCTATGTGAACTATATTATTCCCATATTTAAAGAATTGTTGTGTTAGCAGCAGATATGCTGTTAACAGGCTGCCCCCTAGTGGGCGTGCTAACCGCTACGCTATGGAACCGAACTGGTGTCTGATTCCTGACCTGGATCTGGATCAAGTCTAATGAGATGTGAACGAGGACAAATTATTTATTTTAGGGAAAAGGGACCAAGACTGAAAGACGAGAGTACAATTTTGCCAGTCGTGTTTTTGACTGAAAAAAAAAAACGTGACAATCAGACTGAGGTTGCCTTGAAAAACAGCAGAAGTGAATGAAGTCTTAATATGCTGTCATAAAAATCAGATGTGTAACGATCCAGAAATCACTCTTTTTTACAGAGTTGAACATGCGTTACACTGTCGTTTTCATCGAACTGAACCTTTAACTCTCTCCTATATTTGTTGTTTCCTCTCTGTCTCTGCTCACCCAGGAGTCTCCATCAGGGCGGAGGAAGGCCTTGGCCACCAGCAGCATCAACATGAAACAGTACGCCAGTCCCATGCCCACGCAGACGGACGTCAAACTCAAATTCAAGCCTCTGTCCAAGAAGGTGGTGTCGGCCACGCTGCAGTTCTCCCTCTCCTGCATCTTCCTCCGGGAGGGAAAGGCGACGTGAGTCTCAGTCTCGTCATTTACCGACTTCACCGAACGTGTCTCGAAGTGCGTTGTGCACGTGTTTTTATTTCACCCTTAAACATCAAAAACATAGAAATTAGGATTTCAAAAAAAAAAAGTTTTTGTCATCGTGCGTTTTTTAAGTTTGTTTTTGTCATCGTGCGTTTTTTTTTTTTAAATCACATTCATGCCTATAATTCAGTCTCACAAATGGCTCCTCGGTATCAGCCCCGCACACGTGTTTACCATTTGTTATTCATTCTAACGTGATAGCAGCAACTTTTATTTAAAGACGCACACACACACACACACACACACACACACCGAGGAGCGGAGCAGCCAGGCCTTTGTTGCCGCACAGATCGCGGGTCGATGGCGCGTAACCCTTGTTAACCCTTGGGGGAATGATGTGGGCCACACACAAACAAACTCCATCACACCAGTTCAAATGAGCCTGTGGTTCTGGGAAACAGACGACACAAAGAGGGAGAGGAGGAGGAGGAGGAGGAGGAGGAGGAGGAGGAGATGAAGCTGCGGTGTCGGGGGACAGAGGGGAGGAGCGGGTTAAAAAATTAAAACCAAACATCGTATTGGAAATATTTGCATCTGTGAACAAAGTGATGGTGATGGGAGACAACAAAGGATTAATGAGGAAGGGGAGGAGGAGGAGGAGGGGGAGGAAGAGGGGGAGGGATGAGAGAGGAGTTAACAGAGAGTTGGTGAAGTTGAAGTGGCTTCAAAAGCTGAGGAGAACAGCAGTTTGAACTGTGTGTAGTTGAAGGGTGGATCATTTCAGTGACTTAAAAATAAAGCAAAAAAAAAAGTTCATCTTCTTTTAAATCAGTTTAACTTTAAATGTTTGGAAAGAAACACAAATCATTTGGTGTCAGATGTGAGTCGTTGTTCGCTGCAGCTCCAGCTGTCAGTCTCTATTTACCAGGTTTATTTACTCTCTTCTCCTGGAGTCCACCTCCTTCTGGAGTACTTTTCACTTTCACCCTTGTTACCCCCCCGGTGAAGTAGTCTTTGATCGTTCATGCTTAAGAACAAGGACACTTGATGAGATGAAAGGCAGCCGTGCACATAACTGTGGCCGTTCTGCTGGAAAGGCAACGAGGAGGAAGGAGTGAAGGAATGAAGGAAGGAAGGAACTGTAGAACCAGGCAGTACTTCATCAGTACTTCATCAGTACTTCATTCACTCCTGTAAAACTTAAATTAGTCAACTAATAAAAATGAGAGAAAATAATCTGACGTGAACGTTGTCCAACCGCAACCAATTTTCTCATTTTGAGAAATGAGGGCGAGAGCCAATCAGAGCCATGTTTGTCGTCATAAGGCGGGACATTAAGATTTATAAACTTATAAAGTTTAGTAGATTTTACAAATAGAAAAATATGTCACACCGTATTTCAGTTGACTGAGTCAAATTTGAATTTAGTCAAATCGAACCCTACGTTGTTGAATTTTGAGGCTGGACATCATTAAACCAGTGGTTGATTTGTGATGATCTTTCATTCCTGCCGTGTTCCTCCTGTGATCCAGTGACGAGGACATGCAGAGTCTGGCCAGTCTGATGAGCATGAAGCAGGCGGACATCGGCAACCTGGACGACTTCGAGGAGGAGAACGAAGACGACGAGGAAAACAGGGTGAACCAGGAGGAGAAGGCTGCCAAGATCACAGGTCGGCTCCAGAGCAGACGGTTTCTCTTCTGCATTTATTGTTGTTCACTTATCAGCCACGTTTGAGACGTATGTTGTTGGAGAAGCTGAATATTCACGATTTTGTTTTAGCTTAATACCAGCCATCATGCTGCTGCTGCTCACCACACTCTACATGTATATAAATATAGTCTCAAACTCCTGGCTCCTGGGCCATGTCTGGTCCATGAATCCCCTACTTCTGGCCTGCGAGTAGAAGCCAATAATAATTTTGTTTTTGTGGTAATTTGTTTATTTTATTTACTTTTTTTGGAAGCCTTATATTTCATTATTTCATTATTGTATTATTCAGTGCTTTTATTTAACAAAAAAGAAAATTTTCTTCATTTTTTTTGTACTGAACTTCCTCATTGGCCACTTCAGTGTTGTGGCCGTCCAATGAAATGACACCTGAGATCTCTGTTTGTTTTTCCTTCCTTTTATTTGTATTTATTTTTAGTTCCATGTTGTTTTGAATCCTCCTCCTCCTCCTCCTCATGTCGTAGGACCGTTGATCCAACGGCCGTCCTGCCACCTTGACTTCATATTGAGAATCCATCCTGTGCTCGAAACACGGGCCCCGTCGCTTCCTGCTTTGCTTAATCCCAACTTTTGAAAAGCTCCATCTCTTCAGCGTTAAGCTTCATGCTTTCTCCTTTTTTCCCCGTTTTCCTCTCCCCTTCCCTGCTCTTTGTCTCATTTATATGTATATGCATCGAGCGCCTACAGCGCTCCACTAGTGTGTGTCTCTGAATCAAAGCACTGGCCGAGCTGCCAAAATCTACCCATTATCATATTCTGCCCTTGGATGCTACCTTCAGCGGCAGCCACGGTGACACAAAGAAGACAACAAGCACGCTGGCTAATACTTTAGCATTTGAAAGTCTGGCTGAAATAATCCAAAGAGGAAAAAAAATGTTGTTTTCAACTCGGAACACAAATAATTTCTGTATTTGTGTGTGTGTTCGTATGTGTGTGAATACTCTTTTCCTCAGTGGTTCCCAAACTTTTCCTTCTCCCCCAATTAAAACGTTCAAAGCTTAAGCTTCAAAACTACAAAGACATTTTTCAAAGACACCGTACTTTGATTCTCAATGTTCAAACGAAGGAAAGTTACAAATCAGTGCCATATTGAAAATGAAATGTATTTTCCTTCCTGCAGGTCCCTTCTGCAGTAGCTCCACGGCCCTTAGGTGCAGCCTGCCCCTTACTTTGGGAACCACTGCTTTACACTGTGTGATGTTTCAGCCTGTTTGTTCACGGCCTCTCCTCCTTTCTCCCCTCCTGTACGGCCCTGTCCACTACAGAGATAGTAAACCAGCTGAATGCCCTCAGCTGCTTACATGATGATGATGATGATGATGATGATGATGATGATGCTGATGATGATGATGATGATGATGATGATGTCCCTAAGCGTGCACGTAAAGCAACCGCTAAGCCCGCCGTTTCCTGCGAAGGTCTTCTTTTTTCGCCTTTTCTCCCACCGTTCCATCATCATGTGAACAGTTTATCATCACTGTGCTGCTTCTTCAACACCTTTTACTTTTTTTATTTATTTTTGGACATACAAACTCAAGTCACTCTTTGGGTTTGTATGCCAAACCATTTGACGTTGGTTTTAATTTTTTTTTATTATTAATTTGTGATTAAAATTATTTTTTTGTCCTTCATCCATGTCTGTCCATGAGGTGGCGTGCTGTAAAAAACATCCTTTTTTTGCTATTATTTTTATTGTTGTATTTGGACGTTTCTTTGACTGCACTTGGACATGAACTACGGTGCATTCGTACAAATGGTTTATTAATTTCTGGATGGTGCGATGCTCATTGGTTATAAAAAAAAAAACAGTAACTTTGTGCGTAGTCATGTGACCCAGGCCCTGGCCGCGTGAGGTGGGACAGGCTACAGTGAGGACGATGAAGATAGAGTGGAGTAAAGTCTTAGCCTGTGCAGCCTGGATCTCCATAGAAACTCCATGCTGCCTTCACTGTCTCCCACAGTTACCCTCACTTTTCCCAGAATGCCTCTGCCGTTGCACATGCATTAAAGTTGGCAGAGGTGACGGAGCAGAGACACAGAAGAGAAGTATAGGCAGCTCCAACTACGTCCTGAGACTTTACTCTCTGGTTCACTCCAAAGTGCAGACGGTTTCGTGTGTTTTTTTTGTGCTTGTGAGACTTTTATGTTCGTTTTTAACCTCAGCCATGTTTTTTTTTGCTATACGTTTGAACTGTTTAGTTTTCCTCTGTTAATCATTCATGCGTTTGACTTTGGGAATCTGTGACAACAGAGCTAATCAACAAGCTGAACTTCTTGGAAGACGAGGATCAGGACACGCCTGCGGCCATGAGCACAAATCCATTCGACGACCCTGATGAAGACCTTCATCCCAACCACCTGAATCCTTTTGATGATGCGGAAGAAGAAGGTTCCTCATTTTGAATTATTCTGTCTAATTTGAATCCAAGTATAGACTACGTTTCATCAGCAGAGTCAGAATGATCCCTAACGACTTTTTCTCTCCGTCAAGCAGAGCCTCCTGTCCAAACCATCTCACAGATGAAAGTGGACAGCAACTCCTTCTACGATCCAGAATCCTCCAATCCTTTCGATGAACCGGACGAACCGGAAACAAACGCCTTCCAAGGAAACCCCTTCGACGAACCGGACCAAGACACAGACCCTCAGCCGGACCCTGAACCACCCAAACCCAGGCAGAAAAAGGGCGTTCGGCCCGTGGACATGAGCAAGTACCTGTACGCCGACACGTCTCGCAACGAGGACGAGGTTCTCGATGAGTAAGTCTGAGTAAAATTATTTATTTATTCTGGTTTTGACATTCCATTAAAGTAACGGACTAGTGTGCCATAATGGGGCCCTCCGCCCCTACTTTGGGAACCATCCTGGAAGAGTCTTGCCTGGTGTAATTGTTGTTAGCAGACCAAGTCCTTCAAAAAGCCGTGGTTCTCGAGGAGCACTCCTTACCCCGTAGCCCCTCCCACCAGCGGGGGCAGTGTGAGCCGGCGGCTCTTTCAACAGGAACAAGGGCTCTGTTGTTTCACTGCATTCTTTAAACTTGTCTCCCTCCTTACCCTCCTCCAATATTCCTTCCTCCCTTCCCTCGCTTCCTTCCATCAACTTGTTGCCCCAGACTTTCCCTCCGCACCTCCTCATCAATTTCCTCCTCACACTCTGCTCATTTATCTTTTCCTCTTTGTCTCAACGTTTCCCGTCTGACGTCTTTGCAGTTGAGGTTTTAAACACAAAAATAAAAATAAATAAAATATATATGTATATATATATGTATATGTATGTATATATGTATTTATATATGTATGTATGTATATATGTATTTATGTATATATGTGTATGTATTTATATATGTGTGTATATATATGCATATATGTATATTTGTATAAATGTATATATATATATATATATAGTACATATGGTTATATTTACTTGTACATATATACATATAAATATATATGTATATATATGTATATACATTTATGTAAATATATATCTATATATATGCACTACTTGTTCAGAATGACATGCCGAGAATCTAAAAAATAATAATAATAATAATAATGTTGCTGTTGTTGATCACATGACCTCTATTTGTCACCTTGCCATTGAACAGCTCACTTGACGCTGACAGCGCCGCGCCTCCGTGAACACACTGCGTGGCTCCCGTGCGTTGACTTCCTCGACCGAGAAGCCAAGGCCTTACGACAATATTTGAGCGGCGATGAAAAGTCGGAACATAGTTACACAATGCCGGCGTCGTTCCCCTGCCTCGCAGCAGTGTCTGTCACTGAACGTGTGTGACCTTTGCGGGCCATGACCTTTGAGGGCTGCGTCTCAATTGTAAATATATAAACTCCAGGGTACGGGCCGTTGAATGAGGCTGTCACACCCAGACAGCTGTACAAAGACAGACGGCTCATTGACTGGAGTGTTCCTCCTCCTGTGTCTCCTCCACCAGGGGCAGTGTTTTGACTGCAGCTCTGGTCAAAGTCATTGTTCCCTTCTCTCTCTGCCTTTTCTTTTTTTCTTTTTTTTTTTTTTCTCTCTTTGGGCAGAAAGACACCGGGTGGCGCTCTCTCTCACTGTCTCCCAGAGGTGAAGTCACTCAGTGTTCACTCTCACTCTCACCTCCACCCTGTCCGTCAAACTGTCCTGTTTGTTTTAAGGTGGTTGAGTGAATGTTTCAGTGACAAAAGCAAACGTCATGTCATGGTATGTGTGTGTGGTTTATTCTGCTCTACCTTTAATTGTGGGGACATTTCTTTTTTTGTTACAGGGACACTTTGTCTCATGGGGACATTTTGCAGGTCCTTTTATAGTCCTTAAAACTATATAAAAAAACCCGTCACCTCTTATTATACGTTAACAGTTTGTATAAGGGCAACATGTGGTTTTTAAAGAATCACAGGTGCAAATCCCACATTGGCCAGAAAACCCTGCCCCCCTCAGAAATGAATCAATTCACAGTTAAACTGAGTGTATGTGTCCAATGATAACGTCAATAAACTACAGGGTTAGTGTCTAAGTTAAGAGCTCACACACAAAAACAAAAGTTTGACTGTGTGTGTGGTTGATCCAGTGCTGGTCTTCTCTGTCTCTGTCCATCTGTCAGTCGTCCACTCTGAGCAGTAAGGACATGGGGTCAATCAGCCCTGACCTCAGTGCACCTGCGTCTTCTATTACCCCTCTACCTACTCACACACACACACACACACACGTACGTCGTTAGTCTAATTAAACTAAACGCTCGCTTCCGTTTTGTCCGGATTTCCTCATTGAAGCTGCAGGGAGTGAATTCTACGGAACACTTTTATCTCCTTCAGTTGAATTATAATAATTTTAGCAGTAGACGTTGAATGATTGAATAATATAAAATGACATCTTTTTCAGTCACTCTTTATTCTCAAATTCTAACATGAATATTTTTGTCTCCCTTTTCTTCTTCTGTGTTTTTTTTTTCCCCTCTTCCCTTTCCCTCCATGAGATCCAATCCTTTTTTTGAGCCAAAAACCTCGAGCCCTGCGAGGACCCCTGCTGGCGGCCCTTCGCCTGACGTGGGCAGTAGCCAGAAGAGGCGGGCTCCTCAGCCCCCAGGTCCTAGCCCTGGTCTTGGCCTCAGTCCACCTGCTCCCAAACCCAGTCCTGGTGCAGACAGGGAGAAAACCCAGCCTGTCGGGCCCAGTCCGGTGGCAGCAGTGTTGGGGAGGGAGCTGGCCTCCTCCTCCCCCAAGGTAAACAGGCTTCTCCTTGATTTGCACAAAGAAATGTACAAAAAAAAAACAAAGAAAAAAAAAACAGAGACAAGTTATATTTTAATGTGGTTTCCGTAAACAACAACAACAACAACATCATCATTTGCTGTTTTTTATATCTTTATTCCTGCATTTCAGAAATTAGTATTTCAATCAATTAGTATATTAGTATATAATTATATTGTATAAGAAAATCTTCAGATTTAATGAAATATCAATTTCGCATCATGAAGATACAGTGTTATCAAGTGGGCCGGATTGAGCCTCCTGGCGTACCGGTTTTGGCCC